GTCAGAATTCAGCATACAATGACAAGCACAATACAGTACTGTGCGGTAATAGAGTTAAAACCTTTATTTTAATGTTACGTATAAATATTGTTGAGTCGGGGGATGTTTGAATACATAAGACAGTCATGACTGTGTTTCTTTTGATCAGTTAACTTCACACTGAATGTCTAAATGAATAAAACACACATACATACAGTAAATAGCATGAAAAATGGAGGACTGATTCAAGCAAAGTGAGGAAGCTCAGATTACTGCACAAACCATTTAGACCAGGGGACCTTTGACTACCCGGTACCCCCTAACTGACAGCTTGGTGTTACTCATCCTTTCTTACAGCAAACATTGACCTCTAGAAGGCGATCTAAAAGTCAGGTGTGTCTACCTAGTCTGTAGCTACATATATCACACCAGCTACAGTTGCAACTCCCATCACTAAGGAAACAACCTATGCTGGTAGGAACACTGAACATGTGGTCCCAATCAATTTCCATTCCATGTCACAGAAACCTGACCGGCAACAAGCAACGTGATTCAATGAATCATGTTGTTATCAATCACAACAGAACAACTCACAAACAAATCATTGTTAACACAGCAGATATGCCCCGTAACACTGAACTGTAAGGTTTTAACGAGCTTAACCCTTATCATATTCACAGAGTACAGTTTCTAAACCCACACTACCCTCCTGGGTAGAGGGATGCCCTGGAGATGCCAAATGCACCAATGGAGATATTATACAGTACCAGGTAGCTGCAGAATGTGACTGATGGAATAACTGAGTGGAAATAAAGGTGAAGTATTTCAATTGTCCCTCCTGACAAAACTGTCTTAACTAAATACACTACCCAACTTGCTTCACTCACAGATCCTATGAATGACATAACAATCATGAAAACCATACATAAACAAACAAAATTCCCATCGTGGTTAACAGAACACAGGATACTGTATAGGTAATGGCTGATCTGCTGAATCCTCCTGTAGGGTAATTTCAGATCAACAGGACCAACTTAAGCTGATTCTCAAAGAGCTCCTAGAATGAGTCCCAGGCCTTGGAACCAATTTATATAAGCAAAATGAGTGACATACGCCTTATCTAAGGTTTCTTAGGGAAATTTAATGTACTGTTCAGATATGTCACCCAGCAAAGACTGGTTGTCCAACAATCCCCTTAGAACCACCAAATGGCTTCCCACTTTCCAGAGGCGACAAGTAATCTCATATGTGAGTCAACCAATATTCAGGGTAAGCCAGCTCTAGCACCCAGTCATAAGTAAAAAAAATAATAAAAAATAAAGTAGATTGAGGTACAGTATTGTACCTTTGAGACTTTACGTCACTTGGTGTAGGGTCTGAAGGCTAGTCACCCCAGCATAAGATCTGGCATGAACTTGAGAACATTGAAGAACAGAACACTCTCAACAAACCTTTCACAATAATAATCAAAAAACCAAACAGCAATATCATTTAGCTGACAGCACCAGACTATCTTATTTCCTGAAATGTCAAGTGGGGGGACTCTTAGCTCCTGGGGAGAACCAGTCTTATGAAGTTCACTCAGTAACAGTTGGCAAAGAACTACTGTATGTACAGGTAAGATGAAGATGGCAGAGACCTCCACTCTCTTAGGACAACTGTTGCACCTGATCTACCTGTACCTGTCTTTAGTAAACATCCAAAGCACAGGTAGAGATCAGAACAGGTTCGTCACCATACCACAGACTGAAGATACTTAAAGAAAGATGACTTCAAATTACTAAGGTTATGGTGAGGTGCCTTGTTTACCATCCAGTTTAAGATATCAACCAGAGGCCAAGTTACTGTACACAGAACCACCTGACAAAGATTGCAAGCCAACAATACCACCCTCATCTAAATCTTCTCTTGTCTCTACAACTTTTAATCTCTGTTATTTATTTGAAGCCAAGGTTTCCCTGAGAATTCCTTACTATTGCAGCACAATTTGAAGTTAACAAATTATAAGATAATAACTAATACACTACAGTAGCCATTGGTTATAATGGGACATGCATAAAGTATCACAGTAATTAAGTATATTGTACAGGCATGACCAATGTGTGACTCTTCATAGTGATTACTGCCAAGTTCAACTCATGTCTTCAGCACAGGACACCTGGACATACCAAATACATGTCCCTGCACAATATGACACAAGTCATTTACAAATTAGCAGACATTAAAACAATTATGAATCTTTTATCAAAACACCCATTAATATAATAACACAATTACTATATTCAAATAACTATTGTAAAATAAAGCTAGAATATTTGTAAGAATAAACGTCAGGAATAAACCAAAATTTACTCTACTCTACCAGCATTATAGAAAATGTCCATGGATAAAATTTCATCTAAATGTAATACACAATACTGTACACACTTCTAATATTTTCTGACTTATTCAGCAACTTCTGAAGGGCATCTAGTTATACTGTACAGCATACATCAGCCCCCAAGTAAAATCACATTATTCCAGCAAGCCTTAGGACCACTTTTGCCAGAATAATCAATGGTACCACTATATACAGTGCATTAGAGTATACAGTATACTGTACATTGGGGTACATACAAGCTTATTAAGTTACTGTACAACAACAAAGTATGCCCAGTATACCAAACTGCTCTCCATTTCAAGATGCGACTCGCTGTTTAAATTACAGCATAGTTTTAATCTATTTGGTAGAGTGCAGTACAGTATACCTGTACTTACAAAGTACCGGGTAGGCCAATGCCTTTGCATGTCTGCACAATTCAGTGAATGAAAATAAACAATGAACTAAATCTGACTTCAACAGATATGGGCCACCAAAAATTACCAATTTTGCTAAAATCTGACATTGGTTCAGTGATGACTTGTTTTCATTTACGGGAGCAAGCAGAGCACACAGGCGGTAGCCTATTAGCTGTTTTATAAAACAAACTAAAGTCAAAGTATCTGTTGTTAGAACAGCAAATCACATCTTCAGTATTTCTTTTTATCAATTGACAGAATTGTCTACAAATTTTGTTTTGACAGGAATTTTTGAACACAAGAGCACCAGCCTGTGGGAACATGTGTTATGGACATGGGCAGTTATGTGTTTGTGGCCACTGGTGTGGTGAGTGCCCAATGTTACCTTAACCCTGTAAACAGTTACAGTAGTTAGTTCACATCCCTAAACTAGTATTACACCATTCATAAGCAAAAACATACAAACAAACAGGAACACAACTTTATACCCAAAAGCTTGATTTGGTACTACTGTATACAGGTATCTAAAATGACAGCTTAGAATGCCACCATATAAAACTCATGTACTGTATATAACTTATTATATACTAATTCCCACATTCTAAGTAACTATGCAAGAAACTTGAGACACGACCACAAATGGACTGTACTGAGATACAATCAATTTACAGTATTTTTGTTACATTATTAACCTAAAATATAATTTAGCGTGAACTTCTAAAATAAATCTTTGTCTTATACAATGTGATGAGTGAACAAAACAACTGATACATTCTATCTATATCTTTAAAAACACCAAATTATATAATTTTTCTGATTACCGAGTAAGGATAAGGGACTAGAGGTGAGGATTGCCACTTTATTTCTTCTTATTGCTCTCATTTCTTATTTTTCATAAGATCTGTAGTTGTTGTTTTTTTCATATATTATCTTAAAGACAACGCTATTGGGGGAACACGGCGAAATAAACGTCAATGTGCGCAGACAATATTTCTAAGTCCCGTGCAACCCACCTCAATCCTGTCAACAAAATGACGGCAGACGACAAGAATCAACAGCACACAACCTAACAACCTCAAGTTATCTTTGGTTAGGTTAGGTTAATTCATGTCCTATGCCATCATAAATTACATCACTGATTCCTGGGTTATGTTGACAATCTCTGAAGCTTTGCCTGAAGATTAAGACACGTTAATTATACTCATTACCAAATTATATCAGTAAATTACATTAAAAAAATAACGGGAAATAAAAAAGCAACTTCCTGTGACCTTTTCCCACTGGTGTTAAAGCTACAGAGACCATAATCACTCATATATCTTCACTAAGTTATATTTTTCCAGAAACAATAAAATCACCAAGTTATCCTTTCATACATTACAACACACACCATTCTCAGTAACTTAAGTCAAACACTATATTAAAATTACAAACCCTAACACTTGCATAAAGTTACAACAGGACATGTTACCTGTGTTGATACTATGTTACAACAACCCCGGCTACTGTAACGTTATATCAGGAATGTAATACTAATTCTTTATGATAATTTAGTGTTAATAAGCTTTCTTAACCTACATTACTTTAAACAATTTTGTAGATCAATAACGTTGAAGAACTTTTGAGTTAGTATATAACCCTCACTGGTGGGTGTGTGTGTGACTTGGGGTGAATTAAAAGCTTGGTATCATTACCACCTGAATTAAAGTTCTATTCAATGGAGTAGAAAAAAGTGAGGATCGTTTGTCCCAGCTAACAGTTTACACCACACTAGGATTTAACGGCTGCTAAGGGAATAGTTTTTTTATTATTTTTTACAGGTGCGGAAGTTTGGAGCGGCCAGGTGGGCAGTAGTTATGTAGGTAGGTAGGTGACAGCCGGTGAAGGGTTACTGTTGAAGAGTTAGATGGATAACACTGGTCCACGTCAATACACATGCCACAGGCACATTCACCACCATCTTTCACTAACCTACAACCACCGCGTATTGGCCTTACAACTCAATCTACATAAATGAAGCGCTAGGAAATATCGTTAAATTTAATATTTGTACTTCAATGTAAATACCGGGGTGTGTGAACAAAGAAAATTTGATAAGATTGCATATCATCCCAGGTGAGATAGCCTGCCATCTTGGTGGTCGGAGCCTGGCAACCTCTCCAACACCAGTTTTGGCAGATTTATGGCGGAGATTTGGCAGGTTATCAACTAAATAGGAAGGAATAATGGAACATGAGACGTACTTGGCTGGCCCGGCTGCGGGTTGTCCTCTCCACCTTCTCTATCAGCCATTTTACAGAGCTAACACTCGGTCACCGTAGACACTCAACCCAACACTCCACTCCGTATTCCTCCGCCGACCGCATAATAAATTGTCTAGACGATATAATGCGTTTAAGAAACTAGTTCTCACTCTTACCAACAGATGTTATATACACTTTTTCCCTCAGTTTAAAATAATTTATTATTCTTTATAGTCTCTATCAGTATTTCTTCTATTTATTAACTATACGCAGGACAGCAATACAAGACTAAATCATTTTTTCCATGTGAGAAACCTGTGACGTCATTTGGCGACATAAACAAATTCCCACGTGGTCAGCCTGACCTGTAGTGACCACGTGACCCGTGTTTTGTGTCATTCTTCACCTACATGATTGCTCTAAGTATTAACCATTGTCCTCTAAATCCATAAATCTCCCATATGCAGTTTTTTGACAACTAAATAAATATTTGCCGCTTTGCATTCCGAAACGTTTATGGTTATACTGTCATATACCAATAGAGATGTAGGTAACTATGTAGAGAATATTGTTAAAAATAATATGTGAGTTTAGAATGAAACAATCTCCAAACAGTGTTTAAAAGACTGACAAAACAAGACTCGTATAGTACTCGTGTTTCTGTACATGTGTACTTTGAGTGAGTGAGTTGATCATACAAAACCACTTTAGTAACAAGAGATCCCGTAAACGTTGCAGCAGTAGTGATGGTGAGTGACGCGTCTGCCTAACTTGTACTAACGCATCAAACAGTTTAATCATTCACTAAATAAAATATATAAGAATAATATATCAACACAAAATCAGAGGAGGACCTAGACATCACACGGGGCCCCCCTCACTAACCGTCACCTTAACTTGATCACAAATCTGTACACTGTATATACCTTTTAGATTATATACAGTCGGACACGGCAGCAAGCTCTACAGGTGCCGACAAGAGTGTACAAGGAAGGGATACTTAGCTGTGACTTGTTTGTCCTCACTGTCAGCGACCACACTCTTCAAGCAGTAGAGCCACGAGGTTTGTGAATGATCTGAGCATCACAGACTCAGGCCATTCACCTTCATGTCCCAGCTCCTAAACACAGCGGTCCTTAAAGGAAATGCCTTCTGCATACTTGGCTCGCCAACTTCACCCGAGGTCAAGTCTGTGAAATATTTCGACAAATAAAGTGTAAAATAAACCACACTAAAGGATCACAGGTGGTGGCGGGAATTGGCAGTATTTCCTGTTTGCAGTTCAGGGAAAACTGATCCAATTTTCCAAGAATGGTCCTTAATCTCTTCTGTGAAGCGGAGGCTTTACTTAACTAACCCAGTAACAAGAGACCATACAGAACAGATCTTTAATGTAAAAAAAAAATCCCATGACTGTCCCAGGGTGATGAGACGTACAACCTGGATCCTCCCCCATGACGCCGGTCCTATAGAGGAAGGACTAAATTATTTAAATAAAATATGAATTTAGGTGTTAAATTGTATTTGAATTGAATTCAAGCAATAACCTGAAACTTATTATATACATAAACTCATGCTCATTTTTTTACTAATACTTAAGTTGCTAATCAAGTGATATGATGTTCACACACACACAATATATATATATAGTAGTAATAGACAGTTGGTAATAGTAGTAATAGACAGTTGGTAATAGTAGTAATAGACAGTTGGTAATAGTAGTAATAGACGGCTGGTAATAGTAGTAATAGACAGTCGGTAATAGTAGTACAGACAGTGGTAAATAGACAGACAGTGGTAATAGTAGTAATAGACAGTCGGTGGTTAGTAGTACAGACAGTTGGTAATAGTAGTAAGAGCAGTTGGTAATAGTAGTAATAGACAGTTGGTAGTAGTAATAGACAGCTGGTAATAATAGTAATAGACAGTTGGTAATAGTAGTACAGACAGTCGGTAAAGTAGTAATAGACAGTTGGTAATAGTAGTACAGACAGTTGGTACAGTAGTAACAGACAGTTGGTACAGTAGTACAGACAGCTGAAGGCAATAGACAGTCGGTAAAGTAGTAATAGACAGTCGGTACAGTAGTACAGACAGTTGGTAATAGTAGTAACAGACAGTTGGTACAGTAGTACAGACAGTTGGTACAGTAGTACAGACAGTTGGTAATAGTAGTACAGACAGTTGGTAATAGTAGTAAAAGACAGTTGGTAATAGTAGTAATAGACAGTCGGTAATAGTAGTACAGAGACAGTTGGTAATAGTAGTAGTAATAGACAGTTGGTAATAGTAGTAATAGACAGTTGGTAATAGTAGTAAAGACAGTTGGTATAGTAGTAATAGACAGTCGGTACAGTAAGAGACAGTCGGTAATAGTAGTACAGACAGTTGGTAATAGTAGTAACAGACAGTTGGTAATAGTAGTAATAGCATAGTAAATAGTAGTAATAGACAGTTGGTACAGTAGTAACAGACAGTTGCAATAGTAGTAAGACATTATGGTAATAGTAGTACAGACAGTTGGTAATAGTAGTAATAGACAGTTGGTAAGTAGTAATAGACAGTTGGTAATAATAGTAACAGATGCTGGTAATAGTAGTACAGACAGTTGGTACAGTAGTAACAGACAGCTGGTAATAGTAGTAGACAGTTGGTAATAGTAACAGACAGTTGGTAATAGCACAGACAGTTGTAATAGTAATAATAGACAGTTGGTAATAGTAGTAAAGACAGTTGGTAAAGTAGTACAGACAGTTGGTAATAGTAGTAATAGACAGTAATAGTAAAGACAGGTAATAGTAGACAGATTGCTGGTAATAGTAGTACAGACAGTTGGTAATAGTAGTACAGACAGTTGGTAATAGTAGTAATAGACAGTTTGGTAATAGTAGTACAGACAGTTGGTAATAGTAGTACAGACAGTTGGTAATAGTAGTAATAGACAGTCGGTAATAGTAGTACAGACAGTTGGTACAGTAGTAACAGACAGTTGGTAATAGTAGTAACAGACAGTTGGTAATAGTAGTACAGACAGTGGTAATAGTAGTAACAGACGGCTGTATAATAGTAGTAATAGACAGTTGGTAATAGTAGTAATAGCAGTCTGGTACAGTAGTAAATATGTGTGGTACATAGTACAGACAGTTGGTAATAGTAGTACAGACAGTTGGTACAGTAGTAATAGACAGTTGGTACAGTAGCACAGACAGTTGGTAATAGTAGTAATAGACAGTTGGTAATAGTAGTACAGACAGTTGGTAATAGTAGTAATAGACAGTTGGTAATAGTAGTAATAGACAGTTGGTAATAGTAGTAATAGACAGCAGTAAATAGTAGTAATAGACAGTTGGTACAGTAGTAATAGACAGTTGGTAATAGTAGTAATAGACAGTTGGTAATAGTAGTAATAGACAGTTGGTAATAGTAGTAATAGACTGCTGGTAATAGTAGTAATAGACAGTTGGTACTAGTAGTAAAGACAGTTGGTAATAGTAGTAACAGACAGTCGGTACAGTAGCACAGACAGCTGGTAATAGTAGTAATAGACAGTTGGTACAGTAGTAATAGACAGTTGGTAATAGTAGTACAGACAGTTTGTACAGTAGTAATAGACAGTCTGGTAATAGTAGTAAGACACAGTAGTAATAGAGCAGTAAGTAGTACAGACAGTTGGTAATAGTAGTAATAGAGACAGTTGGTACAGTAGTAAAGACAGTTGGTAATAGTAGTACAGACAGTTGGTAATAGTAGTACAGACAGTTGGTAATAGTAGTAATAGACAGTCGGTAATAGTAGTAATAGACAGTTGGTAATAGTAGTAATAGACAGTTGGTACAGTAGTACAGACAGTTGGAATAGTAGTACAGACAGTTGGTATAGTAGTACAGACAGTCGGTAATAGTAGTAACAGACAGTTGTAATAGTAGTAAAGACAGTCTGGTACAGTAGTAATAGACAGTTGGTAATAGTAGTAATAGACAGTCGGTAATAGTAGTACAGACAGCTCTGGTATAGTAGTAATAGACAGTTGGTAATAGTAAATAGACAGCTGGTAATAGTAGTAATAGACAGTTGGTAATAGTAGTAATAGACAGTTGGTAATAGTAGTAATAGACAGTTGGTAATTAGTAGTAATAGACAGTTGTATAGTAGTAATAGACAGTTGGTAATAGTAGCATGACAGTTGGTAATAGTAGTACAGACAGTCGGTAATAGTAGTAATAGACAGTCGGTAATAGTAGTAATAGACAGTTACAGTAGTAGTACAGACAGTCGGTAATAGTAGTACAGACAGTTATAATAGTAGTAAAGACAGTGCATAGTAGTAATAGACAGTTGGTACAGTAGTACAGACGGCTGGTAATAGTAGTACAGACAGTTGGTAATAGTAGTAATAGACAGTTGGTACAGTAGACAGACTTGGTAATAGTAGTAACAGACAGCGGAATAGTAGTAACAGACGGCGGTGTAATAGTAGTAATAGACAGTCGGTAATAGTAGTAATAGACAGTTGGTAATAGTAGTAATAGACAGTGTTGGTAATGTAGTAAC